GTGGGTATAATATCTACGGACCTCCACTTGTTACAGTATTTTTTTCACTTGCTACTCAAATCTTAAAAGAACACAACACCAAGTCGGATATAACGAAAAACTGTGTGCTGCATATAGAAGTAACACTTTTTTTATGACACCAAGTGACGGGACAAACAAGTAGTGCGCCTGGTGGTAAGCGACACGCCTGTCCGTAGCAGTTGCAGGGCCACTCGGTGTTTTAAATCGCAAAGATCTGAATGGCACTGCCATTGTGCCCGCCACCGCGAGACATAAATCGACAAGATCCATATGCCTGTAATTTCACAAGCACCTGGTTCAAAACGGAACGCAGTAATAATGCATCACCGCTTGGCGGCAGAAGTAGGTAAAGTGTCAGTACTTCCCTGAATGAACTCTTTCACGTGGAGCTCTACTGCTACTTTAAGCTGTTACTTTAGCTTACCAATGTTGCTACTGCTTGACTACTTTACTTTATGGAGGATGGATGGAGGAGGAGGATTCTCATGTGGAGTAAAGCGGCAGATATACAAACCATATTTGTGTTGCAATCGGTAACAGTACTAAAAAAACCGACTTCAAAAGTTCGTGAAATTACATCTATTTGCCAAGTTTTATTGAAATCGGTTACCAGAAAGTGTGCGGAAATGAATTCATCCCCTAGTTTGCCACCCTTAAAGGTGGACTATTTGCTTCAAATTTAAATGAGGCTACAATTGAGGTACCCTCTTTCTAACATAAAAAGAAGCATCCAAATACTTAAAAAAAACATACAGACGGATTGAAAACCTCCTCCTTTTTTGAAGCCAGTTAAAAACGACCGATTCGTCCTGTGTACCGTTTAGGTTCTCGGGTTTCTCTCAGAAAAAAGTTTAAGAAGACTGCTATCATTACTGGCATCACAGTACATTTACTCAAATATTTTGTATACCCATAAAAAGACACATAATTTCATTAAGAAAGAGATATCCATAATATAACCAAATTTGGTTTAACTAAGGTAAAAGATTATTTTATGGGGAACTGTATACGTTTTTACAATAAGATTCCGGAACATATGTTAAGATTTTCTAAATTTAACCTTGAATTAAAAGTATTTTAATTGCCAAACTCATACTACAAAATTGAAGAGTACCTGAGTTAGGTACATAAAGATGTATGCAAAGACAACATGAGTCTAGATTCCACACATTTATGATTCAAAGTGTATTCCATAGCATTTAAGTTTATTTGAAAAGAGCAATTCCTAGAGTTTCTTGTTCGTTCTTCTCAGGGAGTGACGAATGACGTTTTCAGGTGTAAAAATTATACCCATGGAATAAATTATTACTTGACTTTGACTTTGAAAACACGAAACGCAGATTTATAGCACTTTGCAAAATTTTCCCCCACGGAAATATATCTCTTTTATTACCACCGTCAGGAGAAGCCAGTTTGATTTTATAATAACGCTTCAAAATTTGCTCCCTTGACTCTTAAACTATAACTAACCGGTGACTAAAGGTCCATTAGCACTTTCAGCCATTACACTGAATATAGAATTAATTAATTTTGATACTTTGTATACTTACCTGCATCGAAGTTCAGAATGGCAAATAAACAAAATGGCTTCGAATGTGCCAACAGACATTATTTACTCACATAAAGACAATATGGAGCATGAGCACTCCAATTAGTGCAACGTAAAACAAGCGCTGATTGTAGCATAATACAGCTCTATTATGAATTCACATCTAAAGCTTCAAAAGATATTTATTTGTACAGTGTTATCCTTGTACAATGTGTTGATTTGTATCCTTCGCGATTTTTTTAAATTTATAATAGAAATAATGCTAAATCGTCTAAAAACATGAAAAAAATGTATTCTAGCCAATATTCTGGCCTTTTGCAAAATTATGTGTAAATCGTATGCACCGCGTGGGCGCAGCGACCTCGAGCACTCTGCCGCCCGCCTTTCATCGGCACGTAAACTTTCTCCATCGCTTATTTACCTATTTTGTATTATTATGTATACGAATTATTGAATATATAGTGCTTTAATTTACTAATTATATACAATAATTAGGAGAGTTAACTGATTTCTGCCGCCAAGCATGTCAGCATTACCGCGTTCGGGTTTTGAAGGATAGGGGTAAGGGTAAAAAGCTAATTATTTCGTTTCACTTTCAAAATTTTTTATCATTTTTGATCAAAATGGAAGACATCAGTAATTTTGACAGCTGGCGGCCATCTTTATTCGCCATTATCACGGTGCGAAATAAGACGGTGGTAACAAATTGAAAATAAAACGGATTTCATATAAGGACCGCGCCTCACGTACATTTTTTATAATCATATTTGAATGTGGTATTTAAGAGTGTGGTGACATCTGTGGTTATTTCGTGTTTTGGTATTGCTTTAAGGATCTAAACAAAACATAACCGTAAAAGACTAACATAACGTCTATTGGAAAATTTTAAGTGTTTATTAAATGAGATCATTTACCTATTTATCCAATCATGGACATTTTTGTCCATAATCGGATTATATCATTAAAGAGCTTTACTTGTGTTTACCGTCTTTATAAGGGCAGACTTTTAATTTAGTTTATAGCTTGTTACATTATTTTAAGTCTACAAAGTAATGGAAACAGTGTCTGTCACTGTTTGTCCATTACTGGATTTGATTTTTTAAGACATGGCACTGAAGCGAATGACCACCTATTGTTACCAGTCACAAATGGGTTATATGAAACGTCACACCATTCGTTTAAGTACCAAGCAAGATCTCGTTTTTTAAGATTGAATTTGTTAATTTGGCTAAATAGTTGATCGTTCATGTTTAGGTGTCCATGATTGGAAACCGTCCATGGCGGGGTGTCCATGATTGAAAACCGTCCATAACAGGGTGTACATAATTGGAAATTCGACTGTCCATATAAGGATACTCAAACAGGATCTACTTTTTCTCGAATAACAATGTTTTCTTTATTAATTGATATGATTAAAGCACTTTCAATCGTTATTATAAGATTTTTTAACAATTAAACCATTCCTATGTGGAACTCGAGGAATATATAACTCATCCAAAATTAAAAGACTAAAACAATAAATAAATCCTTACATAGACCATGATTGGTTTCGCTACCTTACTTACCAACTTACGTGAATGTACTTGCTAGAAGTGTCCACGACCACTAGCTATTCAAAGATTCCTACGTCGTCGCCAAGAGTTTCGTTTCAACTTTCTAAGCACTAGCACATTTAACTTCGCAAGTTCGAAAGCAGAGACGACTTTTGCGCGCAATTCTTCGACACTCGTAATCTCCTCCGTGTCTAAACTAAAAGGTTCACATTTCTCCACACGTAAAAGTCCATAGGAGTTAGGTCTTTTACTTGTGAAGTAATGCTTTTTACTTAATATGGCATTTGTTATTTTATCTACACACATATCATAAACCCTCTGTGATGTGTTCAAAAACCGCAAATTACGACCAGCATAAACTGTTTTATTAGAACAAATTTCTTTTCTGTGAAAGTGTTATTAGTAGGTGTATATTGCTTCATAATAACATCAAATTCGATTTTATTATTACATTCAAATTTCGAATATCTCTGTAAAACCAAACAATTTTATTCGACCTCAATTCTAATATCAGTCGAGATGAAGTTTTATTTTGACAAATTTTGACAAATTTCACACGTTACTTGATATCGAACGATATGATAGTTCGGGCCGACACTAGGATGTCTATGAATTAAAAAAAAAGTACGATTGTGTGACATGCGTGAGAAAAGTTTTTATTTGCCGCCATTTCGCCAGTCGTAACATGCGGTTCCTGAACACATCATAGAGAGCTTATAATATGTGTATAGATAAAGCGTGTATGTAACTGTACATAATTAGGCATTAAAACACTCGTGTGATATTTTTATGACACCCGTGTTTTAGTGCCTTTCATTATGTAACAGTCACATAAACTACTAATAATTATATAATTCATAAATGTAGAAAGAATATGTGCGGGTTCACACCTTATCTATGACTGGTGGATAAGTAAGGCGATAAAGAATTTTTCACTGACGAAGAGTCGAAGTTAAAATTGATGTTACGTCTGTGATCGTTATTTCGGACTGCGAATTCTCATGGCGTGAGGCGCCATCTAATTAGCGCGCGAGCGTTCTTGAAGAGGCAATTAATTGTCTTTAGCGAGCGGGCGCCCCATCCCACCCTCTCTACCTACTTCGCCCTCCTCAGTCTTTATTTAAAAAAAACTTAAGTAACAGCTGCAACACAAGCAGTATTTTTTTTTAATAACATTAAGTGACGGGACGAACAAGTCGTGCGCCTGATGGCAAACTACACGTTTATCCATAACAGTTGCAGTGCCACTCAAAGCTTTAAATATCAAAGATCTGAGGCGCACTGCCACTGAGCCCGTCACCCTATGACATAAGTTGACAAGTCCCAAGTGCCTGTAATTTCACCGTACCCTTCAAAACCGGAATGCAGTAATGCTGACATTACTTCTTGGCGGCAAAAATGGGTAAGATGGCAGTACTATCCTGGATGAACTCTTTCAAAAGGAGCTCTACTGCTATTAAATACGTACCTATCTATAAATAGACATAAAACAAGTATCGCACGTGGTAATTATCACTTGACGCAGAGTTAGTAGAATACCACTTCACACATGGAGTGCAGCCGTGCCGAACAGAGTCTGATCAAGGTCTTTATTTATTTATTACATATACATTTTAGGAAAATTTACAGACAAATAATACAATTATAGTATACTTTAATATGAATAATCCAATGCCAACATGAAACTGTTTAAATTTAAAGTGATTAACAAGCCAAAAAGAGTTTTTAAGAGAAAAAACAAAGGACACAGTTACATAAAAAAAAACATTAATTATAGACAAGTGTGTAATCAAGTCTTTGAAGATATAACTGAATAAGAGCACCTTTAAAACCGGGTTTTGAGCTTTCAGGACTAACTTATTTTTATTTGCTTTCAGACTAGCACTATCGGCGAAGTTCCTGATAGCTGTCGCTGTATTTTTTACATATTGCCTTCAAATGTACGCCCCTATGGATATAATATGGCTCCGAATAAAAAGCAGATTCAAAAAGAAGTTTTACAATATTGCTCAAATTGCTTTGAGGACTCTTAGCGTCGTATTCACAGGTGAGTTAAATAATAAGAATGTGCCAGGAAATCACACCAATTCTTTGATCTCAAACCAGCGAATTCCCTGTATACAATGAGTAACAGAGCATCGCATTTCAATCCTCGTCTCGGCTCGCCTTGCCTGTGTGCAAAGCACCTTAATAGTCTATACAACCTTAAATTACTTTGGTCGATCCCGCTTAACAGTGAGTGTTGAATCAATCACTCTGGAAAAAATATATAGGAAAATTTACTTGGGCTCGGATAATTATGCAGTATAAACTACAAAATATGTGTATATAATATGGACAAAAGATCTTACCTTATGTACCGTAAGTACGAGTACTTAAATATTGAAAAAAAAAAAACATGTTGAAAGCAACTCGGAAATTGTTTAGGTTTAAAATGAATTGAAAGTTAAGAGGGAAAATTCATTATATTGTAGATAGGCATGTAAGCCTCTTTGTAGCCTAACATTTTCTGGTTAAATTGCTAATATGATTTCCATCTGCGCAATGTTTACGGCACTTTAGTAGACTAATTATGAGCTTCTGCTCGCTACATATGCCGTATTTCGTAACAACTTAACCTTTGTATTTAAAGCATTGTGCCGTATTGTATGTCGCTTTCTATTTAAAGCAAAATGTCACGGTCATTATCTTAGCCTTCTATTTGCGCTAGGAAGAAATAATACTTATCAGCCCGATAAATTAGTTAAATATACAAAACCATAACATTTACCTTATATACACTTCCCCGATCCTTTTTTCCGAAATTGTATTTCTAAAATTAATTCAATTTGCGGTACAATACAAAAAAAACGTACAAAAACGGTAAAAATTACATTCCACCTTTAAATAGAGTTGATGTAAATTTTGACCTTATTCCCATTTGATCCCCTAAAACCGATCCCCTGGGAATCCAGTTTATTTTAAATTTATATTTAGAGAATAAATATAAATATTTTTTTTCCCCGCCGGATACCGTAGTACTACAAGTTTATTTCTGATAGGTACTGTGGTACAGTCCACAAGAAAATGTATTTGAGGATTGTACTGTATTTTGTTTAGTTTATTAAAAATGAACAACATTAACTGTACTAACTTACATGACTGTATAACTGAATTAACTTTGATTTCAAAACTTCTTTTTCTCTTGACTATAGTTACTCTACAAATACAATGAGCGGATCCGTTGGGAGTTGCAAAATATAGAGGGGATCAGTTACAATATACAATTGGTGGTAAATCAATTTTGGTAATCAGATGGGAATAACTCAAATTTTGTACATGTCCCTTTTTTCTTATCCTTTTTCTTATCTACCTTTCTTTTTATAGTGGTGTTAGCTGTGGCGATTCCAGATTTAGAGCTGCTGATAGGCCTGGTCGGTGCCATCTTCTTCTCGACCCTAGGCCTTCTCATTCCAGTCATTATAGAAACAGTTCACAAGTGGGAAAGAGACCTGGGTCTTTACTTTTACGTGTTATGGAAGAATGGATTGTTGGTGTTGTTTTATTTATTAGTACTATTTTCTGGATGTTATTTAAGTATAAGCAAAATGGTGAATAAATACAGTTGATTTGTTATCCTTTATTTATTTTTAAAAACCGACTTAATGCAGTCCACTAGCTGGCATACCACTTACATATGTACCTACTCATGGCAGTTACCTTATATCTATCAGTTACGGCATATCTTTTAATTGAATACAAGTTAGACACAATTACATCTGCCTGATATGGACGTGAGCGTGATCCACCTACAGCTATTAGTATTTTGACATATCAATACACAGTGCTATAAAATAAGGTATTATTACGAGTATATACTTATCTACCCCATTATAATCAATTTGAAATCAGATAAATGCAATAAGTGAACCAATTCGTTTGTCGAAATATTTAAGAAAACAAATTTCTAAACACTGCCTGTTAACAATACTCCTTAGTGATTAAAACCCTCTTAAATTTTATCTTCCGAAACATTTTAACAATCACAGGCCACGTTACATTAAAATGGAAAAGAATTTCATGTTTAGACAGAATTCTAAATTCGTTTTCAGATAAAATGTGTTTTTAATTGTACGACCCAACATTTATTTGATTTTATTCTTATTATTGATCTTATGCATTAGTACCATAAAACAGTGAGAGTTTATTTTTTGCATTTATAGTTCTGGTTCGATTCTCGGTTCAGTCAAGCTTTTCAAAAATTATGTGAATGCAGTTATTCATACCAAGAAAAATAAAGGAATCATTCCTATATGTAAAATTAGTTATCTTAAGCATTTAGAGCGAGGGAGGCCTTTGCTTAGCAGCGGAGCAGTATAGGCTTAAATAAAAAAAAGCATTTCTGGTACTACTACAGTTGATTTTTTCCAGCCCGTATACAGCGGTTTTTTTAACTGGGGCAGTCTAAGGAAATCCGAAACCATTAGAGATACAGGGAACCTGTATGAACCTTTAATTAAATTTTGTGAAAAACAATTTTGGATAGTAATTTTTTGGTCAAGCGTGTGTTAGCCATAAATATGTTGATTGTGTGCGTTAAAAGTCTAAATCTTCAGATAATCCTTCCGATGCAAACTGTCGACTGTAAAATTATCATATATAATAGGGGTTAAAGTATGAAATTGCCGATTTGTACTGAAAATCTAAATTGTTTATTTTTTAAATTTTTAACAAATTTATTTAATCAAAATAGTTGCCATTATTATCTATACATTGCTGCCATCTAATGGGAAGGTTATTAATGCCTTTGGGATAGAACTCCGACGATCTAGACTGCACAAACTGTGTGAAAGCATTTTGTACTGCCTCCTGGGAAGAAAACTTCTTGTCACGTAGATAATTGTCCAAATCACGAAAAAAATGGTAGTCCGTTGGAGCAAGGTCTGGTGAATACGGAGGATGACGAATGGTTTCTAACTGCAGTTCCTGAAGGGTCAAAATGGTTTCTCGTGCTGTGTGAGGTCTCGCGTTGTCGTGGAGCAATAATGGTGAAGATCGATTCATGAGTCGGGGCTGTTTTACTGCTAGTTTTGTCAACATGGTTCGGAGTTCGGCACAATAGACATCTGCCGTTATTGCTTGACCAGATCGGAGAAAACTATAGTGAATAACACCATGCTGAGACCACCAAACAGTTACCATTACCTTTTTATTGGTAAGTTTTGCTTTAGGACACTGTTGTGGCATTTGACCTGGGGTCAGCCATTGCATTTTTCTTTTCCGGTTATCATAAAGAATCCACTTTTCATCACATGTTACAATTCGATCCAATATTCCTTCATTTCTGTACCGGTTCAACAAGGCAACACAAGTTTCAACACGCGTTTCTTTCTGTAGATCAGTCAAATCATGAGGCACCCATTTTTCGTATTTTTTTATTTTATTGATTTGACGCAAGTGAGTCAATATTGTGGGTAAGGTAACGTTAAACCATGCCGCTAATTCCTGGGTAGTTTGACTAGGATCGGCTTCCACTATCTCTCTTAATTCATCGTTATTCACCTGTGTGGGCGGTCTTCCTCGTGGCTCGTTCTTTAAGTCGAAATTTCCATCACGAAAGCGTTTAAACCAAAATCGCACGGTGCGTTCATTAGTAGACCCCTCTCCAAACGCAGCATTGATATTGCGGGCTGTTTCTGCCGCGTTAGTTCCGCGTCGGAACTCGTATTCAAAAATCACTCGAATTTTCGCAGTATCCATCTTTCTTGTCTAAATTGAATAACAAAAACAATTGAAAGTCGATATTCAAATGTTTCAAATTTAAAAAAAAAAAATCACGGAAACCATTTGAAAAAAGTTTCATTCGAAAATCTCAAACCATGAAGAATCCATGAAGATTCTATGAAAATTCAAAGAACCTATTGCAATAAAACGGCAATTTCATACTTTAACCCCTAATATAATTGTTATTAGCACCCTATACAATTAAATATAAATCATGTTTTGATTGTGGTGCATATCAAGCTCTTTAAAACATAATTATCGAGCTGAGATTTGTGGCACATTGTACGCCCTGTACAATATTATAAAGCAGGTACATAATTAACAATTATTTCTCAAAAGAAAATACATTAAAGTACCTACTGCCACGCTATGAAGGCCGTTTTGACAGATTACAATAGTAAGTCAAATCGCAATTCATTATCAAAAAAAATATAATCAAATGCGAGTCGCATCTATAAGTTTTTAGATTTATAACTGCAAGGGGTAGCTGATTAAAAGAAAATTAATAAAACAAGAATAAAACGATAATAAAAATATTGACTTAATATGTCGTCAATTCGAAACTGCTTTGTTTTGCATTGAGCTTTGACGCGAGTTTGCCGGAGGTAGAAGTGGCCAGCGATCCAATAAGTGACGATCGTAGAATTCATTTTTTTAAATTTCGAATTTCAAAAAACAAATGCCGAGTTGTGTCGTAAAATTATACATCCATAAATTTTTCTGCACGTCATTATTGACAACAATGTACACTTGCGTCGGGACCTCGGTGTGGTCTAGCCGAGATTTTATTGCCAGAAAATGAACCAGGTTCATCAATTATGCCCGGTAAGATTCACAATATTTCCCTGCATTCATAAGAAATAGAAAATTTAGTCAGTCTAAATTAAAACAATTTTTGGTATTGGAACATTTAAGCGATGGCCTTGAAGCCAATGCTTAATAAATTAAAAAAAAAAACATGCAGTACAATGTACAACATCAAAGTAGTTATGAATTAATACGAAACTTGATGAGCGGACAAACGTTAAAACGGTCATCATAACGTGTCGGTACTTTAATTAATTTTATTATAGTCATATTTCACGTATAAAAATATGGTCGAGGCATGTCTTAGAGATTCGTTTTTTATATTAATTCGCGTATATTGACTGATACCTGATTCTAGACCTTGTTCACACATAAAATTTAAGTATCGTGTTACAATTGTGTTAGATTGCAATAGATCTATGGTCATGCCGCCCAATAATATATAGTTATTATTTTTGGTGACGAAGATATGTGTTTAGATAGTTCGGCCAGTGATTTATTTAAGCAAGGCGGTCTGTATACTACACAAACGTCATAATTATTGTTTTGATTAGTAATGATCGTACCTGATACACATTCAAAATATTGAGTACCTAGAAGTAGAATTTCTGATAAATTTGAGGCTTTTATGTACATACACAATCACTCCTCCAACTCTCCTTTTGTCACGCAGCTCGTGGTACATTTCGTAGTTATGCAGCTCAAACATCCTGACACAATCGATGGAAATATTAGCTTCTGTTATTGCAATAACATTTATATTCTTCGTACTAGTTGTTATTATATATTCTAGTTGTGCGAAATTTCATGGATCTTATATTTACATGCAGAACAGTATAGGGGATATATCTATTAATAGGTCATTCCAGTTGTCTGCATTATTTTCTTGAATGTTTGTGTTTATGGTATCCATTTAAATCGGCAAAGAAAGAAAACTTATATTCCAAAACAGAAAGCGCATGTTGTGGCACTTATCCATATTTAGTATATATTACCAGTCTCACTTCGTATCATCATACTTTTAAACTCAACCGATCAATAATCTATCAACATCTTCCATGGATGGTATAACAAAAGATTTTTCTTTCTCTACTCAGAAGAGTAGAGAAATAAAAAGGCTATAAAGCCTGAATCAGGCCCTTTCTATACCATACAAACTTACAAAGTCCACCCTCCTTACCTGTGGTCTTAGCTTTCCATAACAAGAAAGAATTATTCGGTGTTAGTGACTCACGAATTTGAATTTATGAGCCAACACTAAAGCCCATGTCCGAGGCATAAATATTAGTATTCTTGGAGGCAACCAGCCATTCGTATTCGCCACCATCCGATAGTGTGATAATAGTAGGAGGTTGTTTTGTAGTTTGGGGTCTCTCTGCTTGTTGCTTTGTCCTATATGCTCTCAGTATATGTTCAGGCCTCTGATTCAGTTTTTTACAAATAGAACTAGTTATGGACATAATATTTTTCTCCTCTTCTTCTTGTATGTCATGGATTTCGAGTTGGTTGCATTTGTTGGGTTTGTTCTATATTATTAACTTTTTGTTCAAGGACATTACTTTTAAAAGTAAGATTTTTACAAGTGTTTTTGTATTCGGTTATTTGGTTTTCATAACTTTTCATCTTGATTTCGTAGTCATCTACCTTATCTAGGTACCTTGTCCGAAAAGAATTGTAGGGCACTCTGTAACTCAGTAATAATGACCTCTAAACGAATGACCTCTAATTTGTCAGAAACTTCTTCTGCAGTCATCGTCGCCTTCAGCCAAGCCTCCGGCCATCGTGTGTGGCAGTCTATGGCGGCCAAGCAATAATTGAAACCGTTAGAACAAGGAAGTGGGCCGATGATGTCGATGTGCAGATGACGGAATCGACTGGTCGGTAAATCAAACCGACCAACAGGTGATTTAACATGCCGCGATACCTTGCTTCTCTGGCACTGAACGCAGCAACGTGCCCACTCGCCACAATCTTTGTTGATGCTAGGCCATACGTAGCGACTTGCTACCAAGCGTAAAGATGGCCGTGCACCAGGCTG